CGTCGTGGTTGATTGGATTGCGAACTGAGGACAGCAGTGTTCGGTTTTAAGTCTGAACCATCAATGGGCTGCTATCCAAATGTATAGAGATGGAGATTTGCAGTAATGTTACAAAATTTCAAAAAAAAAAAGTGTGGACTATTATCTGTGTAATATGATGATTATATGATACGGAGACTTTGGTGTTTGTTACATGTGTCTTATATTTTGGAATTTAGGGTTTTGTTGTTTGAATAAGGATGGGGCCTTGGGGTTTTTTACGATCCCAGATAATCTCGAGCAGATGAAGTAACGGATTTGAATCCTTTATCATTTTGCTCTTTCTATTTGACATAGACACCTTGAAGCAGGGGGGGTACTTCAGGGTGGGCGTTTCGGTGTCACCCAAAAAAACACGATATTTTTTCGATCCGAATCGTAAATTTTTCGAATGGTATTACTTTTAGAAAACCGAATTTTCCAAGATCGAATCCAACCGAATTTTAAAAAACCGAATTTTTTTTAAAGAAAGATCTAAAATTTTCTTAACAAAAATAAAAAACGAACCAAATATGATATAATAACCGATTTATATATGTTTTTATAAAAACGAAAGACCCGAACTGGATCAAATACCGAAACATCCATCCAGTATGAAACCGATCAAACGCGAGAACGATGAGACTAGAAACAACTATCAACACCCATTACCCGAGCCATACTCACTAGCGAGTGCATTACATGTCCGAACACATACTGGGTTTTCCACCTTCGCGCAGGTGGAAAAGATGCAGGATCCGATTACCTCTTGTCCCGAGCTCCCGTCCCCCGATACGCTGCAACAAAACTCGATTGCCATTCTCAGACCTCGGATACGCTATCTCGAGCTCCTGACCGTCTTTTCTGATATTTTCTGGAGAGATTCTTCGAAAGTAACCAAACCTGAAGGTTTCAATGGACATCTTTTATCTGATTCTAACACAGAATTTTCCATGGAAGGGTTATACAATACAAATACAATCACAGACACATCTGTCTTTGTGGATTTTGGTCTGACGAGGCTTTTTATTTATACTTACTGTTTGTTCATTTTTCATTTCATTTCATCCCCTTGATAGCTTGAGACAGTTTGATCTTATAGTCCAAAGCTGGTCCCCAACTTCTTTCATGTCCGGCCGATCTTTTCGGGTCGGAGCCGCGCAGTCAAATGCTAAACCGAACATCTTCCTCAGTATCGTTTTGCTCACTTGTTCCCTCATGTTCGGATCCACCAGTTCCCGAACATTCCCTTCCTCGTATTTATCGAATGCCTGCCCAAAAAAAAAAAAAACACCCCGAAAGCTTCGTGATACTGGTTGAGAAGTTCGGAAAGCTGGCGCTCAAACGAGCGGCTTTTCGTGCAGAGAAAAGGGATAAGAAAGAGTAAAGGAAGCTTTCTTTACCCATCGAACTGTGATTCTTTCCTCCATAGGTCGTTTGGTCTCCACTGGACGACGCCCAGTGAGAATCTCGATGAGCAAAATCCCGAAGGAGTAGACATCGCTCTTGGTGGTGAGTTTATAGGTCCGCGCATACTCGGGGTCGAGGTAACCGACCGTACCTTTCACTTGGGTAACGATGTGGGTTTGATTCGGATCAGACGGACCGCCTCTTGCGAACCCAAAGTCTGCAACTTTCGCTTTCATGCTCTCTGTTAGGAGAATGTTCGATGAGTTCACATCCCTGTGAATGATTTGTTTCTCTGTTCCAAGATTAGCCGAAACGATGTCAACAACGGTAAAAAAAACGGAGGAAAATCCGTTCTCTGAGACATTCATCGAGCGAAGAAAACCTCGCGAATATATGATGAGACTGCAAGATATATAAGAATACCTGCAAAAAGATGGAGATAGGTCAATCCATGGCAGACATCCATAGCTATCTCCAGCCGCTGATTGAAGTCAAGTATTTTCCCCCGAGCGCCTGCAAGATACATACATACATGCGAGGAACCATCATCATCATCATCAACAACAACAACATCAATGTTTTTTTCGTTGGACGAGACGCCGGAAATTTCACGCATGCTGGGTTAAAAAAGTTCTTACCATCCAAGTGATCCCTTAGAGTACCGTTTCCGACATACTCGGTTATGATAAGGCGTTCATTTCCTTTTTCCATGTAACCGAGCAGCTTCACTAAATTCCGATGGTCGATCTTGGACAGAAGGTCGACTTCGCTTTTGAATTCGGTCCGCAGATTCTCAAAGTGTTCCTGCATGACAATTTCCATTCAGACCACAAACCAAATCGACAGTTGTGTTCTTTCAGTTCAGAACTCGGAAGGATCTCCGAACACAAGAAGCGTCAAATCAAGATTTCATTAGACGGTTTCAATTCTAAGAACTCGATACAATAGTTCGACTGTAAAAAATTCGATCATCGAAAGATCGAACCTATACAGGCCGTTGTAAATTAACCACAAAGATACCTACCTTTTTGGCCCGTTTTATGGCGATGATCTGACCATCATCTAGGAAGCCCTTGTAAACTATTCCAAACCCTCCTCTACCAATCTGATGACCCTCCGAGAAATTGTTTGTCGCTTTGACAATCTGACTCATGCTTAGATGCAACGGTCCGAACCTATTTGGTCTCGGGGACATAGCGAATCTAGACGGGCTTTGAGGAAACCGGTAAGGCCTTGGTGGGATTTTCTCGGACAGAGGACTCATTTCGAAAGAGGTAACTTTCTTTACTGCAAGAAGATTAGTGAACATCGATATTATATTGTTCGATGATATGCCTAAACCCGAGGAAAACCGAACGAAACGTCGAGAAATATATGGCATGGCAATGAAATGGGAGCTTCTGTTTTCCAGCCGGGATAGAGAAAAGATCGGTTCCGTATTAGCAAGTTACCCATGAAAGTTTGAAAAAAGTAACCATTTAACGGTAACTAATCTACAAGCTCTAACGAATGGTGTCCGTGCTTATGAAATTTTCACCGCTAATTATACAATTCCGGCTGTCTGTCAAACTGTATTCTTACAGATTTTCCAGTTTCGTTATCAAATTTACGTTGAAATAAAATCTGATTTACCTGAATTTGGTTCCTTTGGAAGAACTTCGGGAGTTTTTGCTTTCCTCTCCTTGTGGAAGCAAGGACAAACAATGGCACAACAGAAGAGCAAAAACCCGCTTGCCGCCATGCTGGCTTTTACAGGGTACGACGATACAAATTCAACTCTCCGTTTCTTGGAACCCTCCCCAGACCTTTCTTGCAGAACCCTTCTCCCTAAATAAGCAGCACAAGTTCGATCACAGCATATTTTGTTAAATTCCCAATCAACATGGACAAGATCGTCTTAGTTTCTTATGTATGCCAAAAGACGTAAAGGTAAAAACCAAGCATTTCCTCGATTCTTTTGTTACCCGAGCTGCTAAAAGTTGGCAACTTTAACTTCAGGCCAGTTTCAAAGCAAACACCGATAAAATCGGATGAGGCCTCGCGTTAGGAGCATACCTAGAAAGTTATGAAGCATACATAAGTCTCCACTGAAAGAGTCCTCAAAGATACAACCTTCAGCTTTATGAAACTGTATGGATTCGCAGAAACGAGCTTTATCCACTGAATTCCCATTGATTGCAAACAAAATCCCCCGTTCTTGACAAGATTTCAAGTAGGTCAAGTGGTCAGAACCACAAAGGGCAGACCACACAGTGGATGCAGAGGCAGAAGTTCCCCTCAGATGAAATAACAGGAAAAGACACAGCAGAGGACTAAACACCATGTTTAAGCTAAAACCCTTTCTACACATTAGTAAAACTATCCGAAAGAACCGAACTTTACTCCTACACCCTGAATGATTCCATGAACAAAAAGCACAGTGGAAGAGACACCAAAAGCCCCAAAACTGATCTCACAAACTCGCCTTAAAATCAGCTTAGGTTATACAGTTGTTCTTCCTTAAGACAGCCAATATCAATCGTGGAACAGAGTTCAGCTCAAAATCGTCTCCAACGTTGAAATTTGACCAAACTATCAATCACTGTAATGAACTGAGTTGAATTCTCAGATACCCTTTTGGATCAGAACCACAAAGATATTCAAAAAAATGATCTAGAATTTCGAAACCCTAATACCACAAAACCATAAGAACTTCGGTTCTATCCGACACCGTAAACCCACCGTACACGAAAGCGATAAACCCAGAAACCAGAACATGAACAGCAAGAGAAAAGGCAGAACTTTCGATTTGGGTCAACCAGTGGATTCCGCACAAGTTTCCAGTTTCCACGATCAAAATCCAAGAAACAAGGAAAACCCAATAGCCAGAGAGGAAGCAACCCGGAACCTAATCCAATGGATTGACTAACATTCTCTGAATCAATTCAATGGACAGTAAAAAGGAAAAGCCTTTCCTTTTGTGAGACAAGACCGTGAAAGGGGACGGAGAAGGGAAGACTGGTTTTGTCGGAGGAGATGTCATTGTTCGTCAGAGTTCATGGAAGACACCGCGTAAGGACTTGGAAGATTCGTCTTCCAAATTCCTGTGGATTTTTCGCTCCCAAATTTTGCCGTTTACTTTATTTGTTTTATAATGTGTGAAAAGGTCTTTCTGCGGGCCTTTCTCTATTTCGGTGGGGGGTATTTAAGTCAATTCATATATTTTATGCGAACGTGGCATTTTTTATGGACGTTTTGTAGGGAAATAAAAATAAAAATAAAAATACCTAGTACTATCACTCCTCGTCACATTATAACCAAAAATGGATTACGAATAATAACATTTTTATATTAAAAATATATAAAAAGAAACGACTAGTAGTATTGGTTAAGAGAAAACAATTTCGAAAATGTCAACGACACGTTTGTTCGCGTAGGTTTCACATTCATATGGTATTAACGAGATTAATTTCATAATATATGATTTTGTTTTGGTCGAATGGACTATTAAACCTGCCAATTTGGAAATTCGGACAAAAAAGTGAGATTATTGAACCGGTCAACTCGGAAATTATACGACCGACTCCGTATATACAGATGGTGAATTGTTTGTTATAACTTACTTAACAAGAAGAATTCATCTTTTTTTCTGTAACAATTGAATTTCAATTATTAACATCCATTCCATATTAAAAATAATCATTCCTAAGGAAAAAATCATCTCTTACATATTCTAACTTCATATATATATATATATATATATATATATATATATTCATGTGCAGGTGTAGTTGAGAGGTTTGTTTATGGAAAAATAAATAAAAAATATATTCATTACAAAATACTTCAACAGCAGTAACATTATCATCTCTTAGACCATAATTTTTGTAATGAAAATCGAATCCGAATACAAATTGTAATCAGATAAAAAAAAAACACAGAAAATTATGAATGGATATTGTTTTACTAAAATATAAAGACCACAGAAAAATAACTCGAAATGCCAACTTTGATCCACAACTGTTCTTTAGAAACATAACTCCATTTTTCATTTATGATCACTGAAAATGTCTATAAAATTATGTTATTCCTTTCGGTTTCTATCACATCATCACACCCATATATATCATCCCGAAAACAACCTAACAGTTTCATGGAATAATGAAATATATATATATATACGCACATCATGTGTGTGTATATGTATATGTATAAGTTATTATTGAAACTACAAAAAAAAAAAAAAAAAAAATCGTTGGGCACTACAACAAATCAGCAACACTCATGGCGAATATCACATGACCATAAACCTCTCTGTTCGCCGCATAAACCGGGGAGGCCGTGTCGTCTTTATTCACCGTCAACAACAGATCGCAGTAGTCCACAGCCTCACGGGCCATCCCTAGTTCCACGTCAGCATCCTCCACGTCATCACGGTCGCCGCTGCCGTGTTTCGCAAGCAACCTCTCCGCATTCCTAAGCGCCTCGACCACTTCCACGTAGCTCTCCGCGCAGCTCTTGAAGGCCGGTTTCTTCGGCCACCCGATCAGCTCGGCCGTGCGCTCGGCCTTCTCCAGGGCCACCGACGTTGCTGCGGTGGCCATCTCCGACGCGGTGGTTGCGGAGGCGGTGCGGTAGTCGGAGGCTAGGGTTTGGATGCAGGACTCTTCCAGGTCGGAGAGAGAAGCGGTCGTGCCGTTACAAGCGGTTAGGATTAGGTCCGACGGCAAGGGACACGTGGCGGTTGAGGTCGAGACTGACGGAGGTTTCCGGCAGGTGGTTGCGGTGGCGGAGGAAGAGGACGGTGGTAGGAGGAGGAGGGAGAAGGTTAAGATTATTGGTAGGGACGTGTACATTTTGTGTTATAATTAATGTTTAATATTGCGAGATTGATTTTTTTTTTCAAGTGTGTAATCAATTTGTTAAACTCGAATTACGTACAAAACTAATGGTGAAACTATTGTACAAATTTATTTCCACGATTTTTTTAGGCCCAAAGGTTATTTGTGGGTAAGGTTTGAATGGTAAACCATGAAAAATTGGGAATACTAATTATGAACAAGTGTTAGAGGAAAACAAGTAATATATATATATATATATATATATATATATAGATATATATATATATATATATACTGCACGTTTTTTTAATGATAAAATATATTCACACATTAAATACAAATTGCCAAAAGCGTGGTTGTCTGTCATTTATCGGGTATGTGACAAATATTGCAAAATAATATATTACATTTTTCCCCAAGTTAATTGTATTTTGGAATTTTATAAAGCAAAATTTATTTTAAAAAATAAAATGAAAACTCGAGCAGTGTCGGGTCAACGTGTCGGTATGACCCGACCCGGTAATTGCCCTAAACAGCCCCAACAAGCCACTTTCTCGCGTAGATCAAAAAGCGTATCTATACCAAAAAGAGTAAAGAAAACCCAACCGAGCTCGAGAGCTACGAAATCAAAATCTAGGCACTGAGGATCTGAGATCCGAGGAGTATCCGAGACGGAGATGCAGTCCATGGCGCACGAGGAATCTTCCTCGTCGGCGGATCATCATCAGTCGCCGAAGCAACACTGTTCTATTCCCTCCGGCGATAACTCTGTCTGGGCTGATGTCTCGCCTCTCCTCTCCGCCGCATGCCGAGGTCGACTCTCTCTCTCTCTCTCTCTCTCTCCCTCTTGTTCAGTTCAATTGTTTGTTTCGAATTTGTCGGTTGTGGTTCTGTTTGGTTGCCGAGAAAGCTGGTGACAGAAAATGGAGAGAACTTTGGAGGGTTTTCTAAAAGCGAGTTATTTCGTGTATATCGAGATTATGATTCGATACTTCAATTCTAGTTGAAGACAGGACTTACGGGTTAACTCAGACTTCTCTGTTGAGATGGTACTAGATGGTTATTCTCTCCTGTCTGTTCTGTTTTTTTTTTTCAATTTCTTGTGGTTGTAAAATCTGAACTTATTGTCACCACATTTTTGTTTTTACTTGCCTGTGTCTCCATGTTTATGTTTTGTCACAAGTATCCTTGTAAATAAACGATTGTATATACTCGAACTAGTAAGATATTCTCCATCTGGTGGAAAATCATGATCAGGCGAGTCACGAGTGAACTTTTTCAGAAAGTTGTGCTATATTTTTTAGTAAGATCATTGGCTTGAAGTAGTAGTTTCCTCTTTTCCCCTATCATGACTTGTCCCCTGGATGATTAGATGAAAAATAAGGATTTGGAATGCGCAAATGTCTATTTTGACTTGCACCATTTTGTCCAAAATGAAAGATAAGGATCTTGACTGTAGGCTCTGTTTTGTAAGTAACCATGCTGAATGATTATTTTCTAATTCAACCATTGCAGACCTTCAGGATGGTGAGCTCATTCATGGAGATAATTTTAATCTTTATGCCGCAATGTCTGCATTGGAGGTACTGCTCAATTTGATCTTATGGTTTTTTTTTCTGGTTATCACTTTATCTATCTCCTTTTCATTGTTCATCCATACAACAGAGAGTATATTTGGTCTTCCATCTCCAGAATTATAGATGAGATTATTAACTTGATGAAACTAATTGGTTTTATTAAGTCATTAGTCTAGTTCCAGGGTTCATTTGCCTTTTGACCGTATGGTCTTCTGAACACTTGGATTTCCTTGTGGCTCCTTTTTTTGCTGCTCTTCTACTTAGTTTCTTTTAAGATAGCTGCCACTGTAGAAGTCTTTTCTTCCTCTAGTTTAGCTGGTTCTCGGTGTCCCAGTATGGTAGTTCCATGAGGCCATATGTGTAGATGCCTGGAAAAAGTACAGATCAGCTCTTGGGCTTGGCCAACTTAATCTGATAGACTTTCTAAATTATGAATAGCTCTTCTGTGGCCTTTGTGGACTGACGCACCTTGCTGGTCTAGACTCTATTAGACTAAACTATAGGGGTTGTCCAGTGGATATTAGATGTGGCGTCTTCTTGACTCTGAAATAACAATCTACTATTGTTTCAAGTTCTGTTTTCTTTCTCTAACATTATATCTTTCTCTTACCAGATAATGGACCCAAAGATGGATTCTGGTATGGTGTCTAGATTTTATTCTATTGATGAAGCGATTGAAAGTGGTGTCGCTCCAGTGCCTATAAGCTCTGATAGGACCGTTGATGTGCAGTGCATTATTGACATCATGGATCATCTCCTCGCATGTGAGGTAACTGTTGTTTTTCTGTGCTACAATGGTGTAGAGTGAGCCATTAGTTGAGTTTCCGAGTAGATAATATGTCACATTTTCCATTGGGCGTTGAGTAAACCTATCATCTGTTCCATATGATATTTGTGGAAATGGTCCGGTGCATACTTCTACTCATATCTAACTCTTGGTGTATCATTATCTGTATTTTGTCGCTCTCTCTGTCTCTTATATTTTTGCTGCTCTTTTTTTTTTTATCTGAAGTGGTCTAATATTTTTGTAGGCAACATGGCACAAGGGTCATTCATTGGCACAAACTGTGTTTTCGTGCATCTATCTTCTGAGGCCTGAGAGGACGTCTTCACATGCTATATTGCATTCTTATTGCAGGGTGATACGTGCAACTTGCAGGGCAGTTGTTTCTGCTGTTTCAGATGCACGCACAAATGAAGTAAAGTACTCGAATGATTCTTTGGCCTCTTTTGTTATTGTGGTGTAAAAGAAATTATTTCTATCCCCATTCTGTGCAGCTTACCGTTATTGGCTCCCTATAAATAGACAGATTAATTTCATCTTATATGTAATATCTCCTTTAGAATTTTCCTCTGAATTGCAGCTTTTTCTTTCCGGAAAGATCTTAGTTTCTAATTACAATCAACTTATTCGAACCTGAAACAATTGAGTCTACCCTTTGTTCGGTTGAGAAGGCACCTTTCCTCTGATTGGAGAAAACATAGGCATAGAAGGGTTCAGTGCCATACCCTTTTCCAAATTTGTCTTCCCCTGCGTATGATTCACTTAAGAATTTTTGTTTCGAAGATGTGTGGACTGTTTTCCCCATTGTTTTGATATTGATTAAAACTTGAAAAGATAGGTGGTGGGGATTTTGGATAGCAATTGTTGCGTGTTTACTGTGCTCTCACTTTAGCTGCCTGAATTGCATATTTCACAGCATTCACGTAGAATAAATCACTTAACCTTCCTAATGACAGGAGGAGGATCTTTTTACGATGACATATGGTCTTCCTCTGAATGCGGATGAAGACAGCAAGGGGCTGTCTCTGTTAAATGCTGTCGAAGAGACCATCAGCCGTCAGCTGCGGGCTTGTAGGGCTCCATCATCAAAAAGGAGAGCATTGGAAGGTACTGTTTTTGCAGTTCTTTTTTCTTTGTTATTTTGCACAGACATGCTTGCAATTTAGAAACTGAGGAGAATCTAGAGTATTCATGTTATTGACGGGTTTGAAAAGTTCTTCACGCGTTTAGGGATAAGAATGCGCTTTTTCTTTTATACTTCCACATCCAAATAATGCTGATTTTGGAAAGAGTAGCATGAATATCGATTGTCTATTTTGTAATTTTTCTAACTAACAACTTTACATACTCTTACCTCTCTCTAGTGTATCATTGATAATTTTGAGCTTTCTTCTGTGCAATAATATATGCCTGCATCCTGTACTGCCGCAGATATCACTTTAATTGATTGTGTCCAAGAAAAAAAATGTTGCCCTCTCCTTCTGGCTTTTTGTGATGCATTGCACTATTCCTACTTTTAGCATTTAAATATAGCATCTCTTCCTTCTGGCATTACTACTAAATGGAGAATAATGTGCTTTTGATGCAGAATTAGAGCCATTGCAAATGAATCTCGAATTGGAAGAGAGCTATTGCAAAGCTCTGTTATGCCGGATACGTTTCCGTAAGGTCTCATGCTTTGTTTATTCTTAGGGGTTTCCTAAACGATACTGGCTTTTATTCTGCGCTTGCTATTACTTTATGCTATATCCCAATTTGTTCCTTTTTCGGCCACATCATGTATTTGAATGATATGCTGACTTGATTACTGATTCTATGCTTGCAAATGTTCTGAAGTATGCAGTAGAAAACCAAAGAATTTTATCTTCATTTGAGGATGTTTTTTATCAATCGTGAGCTAAATACTCAACTTATTACCTGTAAGACATGTTTGTTCTGGTGTCTTCCATACACACTGTACCTTGTCTTATAAAAAATGGACATTGAACAGAGATGTTCTTCTTGCCATCTAGTTGCATTTCATGAATACATCCTTTTTAGGGAAAGTGTTGCACAGATCACAATATTTTCTTTTGTATTGTAGAAGCCCAAATTGTCCTTGACCAGAATGAATAGGCTGATGAGAACTAGTGATCTGAAATTTCTGCAAGTTCTTTGTCACTCATCAGCTTTTTTTTTAGTTTACAAGAATAACTCAGACATGTGTATCCTTCATGACATCCTTTTTGGTCCTGTGAACCTTGTTCTATCTTAACAGTTGTAACAATTATCAATTTTTGGAATGGTAGTAGTTTACCCCCTCTTTTATCTCTTTCAGCATTTTCTACATGCTCTTAATTGTATTAGACGGCCTCAAGGACGTGGTCTGGAATTGGCAAGAAAACACATAGGCTCTTGCATATCAGAGTTAGATACCATTCTTAAGTCAGCTGAATATCTGAGATCAGATGCTGTGGGAACTGTTGAAAATGATATGGAAGAGAGGACAACGTCATCAGGTCATCAACCGGTTGGATTTGATGCTAGTATAAACAAAAGACTATCAGCTCCCACTCCACCACGTTCTATCAAACTTCTCTCTTGGAAAAAGGTATAGGGTCCTAAATTCTATATTTTTCTCAGAACTATGTTCTCTTTTATAACTTTTTTATTTCTGCATTTCCAGGCTCTTGAATACTTTGTGAAACTTCTTCACAATCTGGACCAGATTTGTTCATTCTCATTAGAGCCAGATTTGGATGCTGTCCTGCGCTTTGTGGTTCAATTTCAAAAATCTGAACCTGATCTTGTCTCTAGGGCTCATCTCCAGGTGATTTGGTCTTGTCGATACCCTTGCATCTTTTTGTTTCTGGTTTTGCCTAAACTATTTAGGTTGCTGGGCTTAAAAGTGAAAAAGTTGATGTACTAACCTTAAGACACATATTCTTTCTGGTTTGCGCTTGCATTTGCATAGCCTTTTCCATGCTTTCTGCTATTTTTCAGGTTTAATTATTTTCCCAATGCCAAAGCAGCGTTCTTGCTCAGATGCTTATTTCCGTTTGCACACTGAAACTGATGGTTTCACTTGTTATATTAGGCCACCGTTTCCTATTTTCTACTTTTTTTTTTCTTCCTGAATTTGTAATAGTCCTGAAAATTAGATTACAGGAACAGAGTTTCAGTAGGGATATACCTTTATTATATATTGAGGTTTAATTCTGGTTGTTAAGTTTCATGCTAGCATTAAGATAGTAAGGTGCGGATGGTAGCCAAATCGTATGATGTTGTACCTAACTTCCGATGGTAAATTATGTTGTGTGTGTTACTAAAAACAATTGACGATGCATTCTCCTTTTTTAAGTTTTCTCATGAATTTCAATCTGTTATACCAGCTTCTTCTGGTGCAAGATGGGAAACTCTATGGACGTGATCCCCTTTTCGCTATTATTACCCGTGCTGCTGCCTTGCCTGAGTTCACAAAAAACCATGATATTCAAAAGAACGAGTGTATTGTCCAACTTGGACAGGTAAAGCCGATAGTGATATTTCTACTTGGCCTACATTTATGTTGACATGTGGATTACTAATGCTCCAATTATGTGCTATTTTATCTACATAATTAAACCTGAGTTTTGGTTAATGACAAATTAGGCTCCTACATAGAGTCACATATTCTTTCCGATTTGGAGTACTTTTTTCTGTAGCTGGTAAAAATAGCTTTCGCATCCACCTGGTTTTATCTGATCCCTGCATTCTCATTTTGCGTGCAGTTGGTGATTAATCTACTTAAAATACTTTGTACTAATACCGCATGGCAAAGGCGTAAGCTTGGGAAAATCTTAAATGATTGGCGCATCATTTATGTACAGGTTTGTGCCATTCTTTATATTGAGCTTCCTGTCTGAGTACGTTTCAATCTGTAGATCGAGATCATCATTTACTTGGCACAATATCTGAACCTGCCCTCTTTAGGCCTTAAATTATTTGTACATTTTACTGTTTTGGGTTTTCATATCAATATCTCGATCATCTATATTCTATCAATTGGCAGTTAGAGCTTTCTGTCAGGCATGAGTTTGGAGATTCAACTGGCATTCGAAATAGTGAGGTAAGCTGTTGCTGTAAATTGTATATTGATATTTCATGTGCTGTTTATAAACAAAAACTGTTACTTCGGTTCAGTCGATATGTCTTTGCTTGTTACTGTAAGTCTATTAGTCAAATCTCAACCTTGATATATTGGAAGCTGTTTATTGGCTTTTTTCACGCCGCACTTTCTTTCTCTAAATTAAACTTTCAGCTCTTTAAAATTATAAATGGGGTCAAAAATCGATTTAGTAACGTTGATTTTTGTGGTTGTGCAGGATATATCTGTGAGGATTGTAAACCATTTACTCAATTGGATACAAGAGGAAATGTATTGGATCGCCTCTCACTTTCTCAAGTTGGGGTTTGAGTTAGATCTCTATTCCCAGAGTGAATATTGCATGATATACTGGTATATGTATATTATACTTTTCAAGCTCGGTGAGACAACACATTTCAAGACAGCGCTTGCTGCTGACAGTGGTATGTGTTCTAACGACCTTCATCACTCGTTTTCCTTCTTTTGAACTAATTGGGTCTACAATATCACCGTGCTGTATTTTCTTGGCGAGCTTGTCTATCGCCATTCGGAATTTGATGCACGTTTTTTTGGTTAATCAGCAAAAAAGAAGACAAAGAAAAAAAAGGATTCTCCAAAGGATGTGGTGACTCGAGAAACACAGGTTTCTCCTCCGGTACTATTTGTCCAGTGCCAGATGTGCCTCGCAGAAGGGCTCACAATGGTACAATGCCTGATCTAATATATTTCTTTTGTCTGTGGAAACGGGTATATGATATACGGTGTTATTCTTTGTTAAAGTTATACGGTGTTCCCAACCAATGAACCTCTTGGTAAACTTTTCTGTTTGTAGCTGCTTGCTGCTTTGAGGAATGAAGGGATGGATTTACCAAGTTCTGGACCTTTCAATACTGAAAATGAGGTAAGACCCCCATCTTGCAATGATTGAAAAGTCGCCACCGAAGAAAGTATTTTTTTCTGTAATCGTAAACTGAACTTTCACCATTTTATTTCCGCCTGATTTCTCTCTGCGTTTTCCTATTTTGTTACCCGACTCACGGGCTTTTCTCCTCTGTTTGCAGAAATTTATGCAGCATTTCGAACTTTTACAGAAAGCTTGTATACCCGATTATAGCGCGTACCAGTCATTCCGAGAATCCACTTCTCACGCTTGTTTCCCAGTAAGTACACTACTCTTGAACTCGAATCCTTAAATTCCAAAAAAACCACCCTTTTTCATCGGCTCTTTCCTGCCGACAGATCCTTCTAGTTTACAACTACTTCAAAGACGCTCAAAAGATGGCGAAAGATCTAAAGAGCGGGTTCTCGAAGGAACCAGACAGGTTGGCTGAAGTGAGGAGGTTAGAACAAGTCGCGGAACATAACGCCGTGGCCTTGAACCTCATCTGCCGAGTCGGGGCGGTCGACCGATCCCTCAAGGTATCGTTCGAGTTCACTCACCATCCTTATTTCCCGACCGTTGTTGTCCGCAGATCCTGAAATCTCTCTCCGTTCTCTCAGTTTTTTTAAGATTGGAAACAGCTTTTATTTGCATTTGCATATGCTTTTAGAGGCTATGTGTACCCTTCATGGTTTTTTCTTCGTTGTTAAATCTTGTGTTTTGTGGGGAAAAAAGAAGAGAATGTTGATAACATTGCAATAGTATAAAAACATTCTGTTTATGCTTTTTGCCATGGTATCGGTTATTCTTATTATCTAATATCGTGCGAGGATTACCTGTAACCTCAGCATCTGCAAACGCGATTAGGGTTTGGCGTTTCGGTTATTTTTTTTTTTAAAAAATAATATTTTTATAAATTAAAATAAAACCGAATAAAAATAGAGTAGAATTGAATTCAATATTATTGAGAATGCTGGTCAACCCCAGCTTTGGTTAGTGGAGGTATTTATGTGACATTTGCAACAAATATTTAAAAATATGTAAAATGATTGGTGTCGCATTTTTTTTTTTTATATACTCAATTTTTTTTTTTTAATTATGATGGATGGGATGCATGCACCCTAAATCCGTGTGGTGTGCTTTTTTTTTTTTTTTTCATAAATGAATTATGAGATGAACATATAACTTCCAAAAGCCACCGTTCTCTGCTTGTGACACACGTAAATGGACACCTCACTAAAATTAAAATGTAAATATATATGTAGTCTCAAAATTATTAAAAACCAAAAAATTAATAAAATTAAAACATTTGGGAAATAGATTATCAATTTAGGGTTTCCAGGAATTTGTTCGGAGGGAAACTACGATGTCGTGGCTCTTGAAGTCTCTCCAGATCACCAATGGTTCGGAGCCCTCCTCTTCTTCTTCATCCGGTTACCGATCTCCGTCTCCGGCGAACAGTCCGACGAACCGCGGCGGAGTGAAGGAGGACTTGTCCGTACTCGGTCAGACCATCGGCCGCCAGCTCCGCGGCGTCGCGGCTTTCCTCGCTCCTCCGCCATCCCAATCTTCCTCCGCTGTCGCGGTGGATGTTGATGTGGAGGAGGAGGAGGAGGAGTATTGCCGGCGGCGGACAACGTCGGATTCTTCGGCACAGCAGGCGCTTGTGGGGATCCGGAACGATTTGGCGGAGATCGGCGGGAATTTCAAGAGCGGGCTCTCTCGCTTGTCGAATTTGTTGCAGTTTCCTAGTAATCTCGATGAAAGGGGCAGTGAAGGGGCGGAATTCGAATCTGAGGATGATGAATTCGATAAAGTACCTGGAATATCTGAGGAAGTAGTCGATTTCGCGAAGGAGATTTCGACGAAGCCTGGTTGCTGGACAGATTTTCCTTTATCCATAGACAATGGTAAATCCCTAGCCCAATCAATTTTATTGTTGTTTAGACCCTTTTTTTGTGGCAGACGTTGATGGTTTGTGTAGTTGACTGTTTTTGTTTCATCTGAACTTTATCTGTGTCCACCCGCTTCAGTTAAGGTTGTGTTACTGGTCCGCTGCATAACCCCGTCTTCGTTCACATTCTAGCTCAATCGCTTCTCGGGATTTGGAATTGATTAAACCTGGAGGTTTCCATTCATACCGATGAATCGATATGCTCAATTTTCACTCGGCCCACTGAGCATGAATCTTCAGAAGGGAAACTCCATCTTATATGATTAGTGTATCATCTTGTGTATGCACTTCTTCTGCTTATTGATCTTTGTTGAAACCAAATAGTGCTCTGTGAATTTCAAAGTAAAAATAAGTGTGGCACAGAGTTTTGAACTTCTCACGACAATTTTGCAGATTTTGAATTATCCGAGGCTCAGAGGGCACATGTATCGGCAATTGAACATCTGGTCCCTGGCCTGACAGATGTGAAGAACGAAGTGAGTAGATGCGTGGATGATGAGCAGTTCTGGCTGATTTACTTTATATTGATGATGCCCAGAGTGAATGGACATGATCTCGAGCTTCTAGCAACCTCCAAGGTGAGACTGCACCCACTCAACAGTCATTCTTGTTGTGTCGATCATATCAGATCAGAAAATATCTTAAGTCTTATTATAGCTATTCTTGAAGGTGCTAAGAACACATTTTTGTGTCATGAAAAGACTGAAACCATAGAACACTTTCGTCACAGCGTCTACTTATTTTGTGCTGTGGATCTATAATTTCATATCAATGGTCCAGGTAATCGCTACAAGAGATCGGCTTTTACTAAAGCTGCAACAGAAGAGAGAAGCAGGATCAATGGATAGCTCCGGAGATCACGAAGCTTATGAAGAAGCCAGGAGTCGGAAAACAGAAAACGTGGATGAAATCGTTGACAAAGCAGAGACCCTTAACATCGGGCATAGAGAAAAGAGCGAAGAACCGTCTGAAGGAACAGACAGGATTTCTGGTTCTGGAGAGGGAGAGGAAGATATCTCCTTCAGCGATCTAGAGGTTGATGATAACGATCTCTCGGGTAAGCCATCGCCTAATATGAACGTACATAACAGACGAGCATCAAATGCTAGCGGTTCAAGCGATTGGATACTGCTCAACGCAAGTACCCGAGGTGAGCGACAAAGGAAAGATTCAGAAGGCGAGTCCAGTGACTGGCTCGCCGTTGGCGATTCCGATTGATGCTGAATTCCAGGTAACACCCTTATTTTTACTGTAAAGTTTTATATATTATAATCTTCACGTGTGATTTTATATATTTTAAAAATTAATCCTTTATAAAACGCATTTTTGTTTTGAATAATGTTCATGTATTGTATATACGACTTAAGAGCTTTGTTGCTGGAGACTTGACTTGTCATCTGAACTAAGTCTCATAAACTATTAGGTCTAGCATTTGAGTTCTTCACATTTTATCAATATGTCGATCCAATATGTGTATATAACTCTCGCTCTCTCTATAAATATATATGAGGATTCGTTCCTTTGTTATTTCTCTCCCTCGACCACTTCATATCATTTTATTAATCCATGATAACCGTAGTATATTTCATCCGGCTGTAAACTCGTTGACGAGATAGATAATGTCGTTCTCGTTTTTTTTCTTTTCGGATCGATATTATTTGTGTCATGGTCGAAAACAAATGAGTTTTGTAAGGTCACGGTTGGTAACGAATATTGGCCGAGGATAGAGGATAGGGTTGAACGAGACTGCCAAACACGAGTTCGGATGGAACGACGCAGGGAATGTGAACCTCGGATTGGGGTTTGAATCTTCTCTGGCTGCGACAGATCACCCGTGGAGTCATGCAAAAGGGGGGGGGGAGGGGGGATTGAATTAGGCTTAGGGCATTGTAAAGTTGACTGGCAGAGCGAGCCGAGGGGGCATGCGGGTTTAATGTTCAATTGATTGATCTTGCGCCAATAGGTCAGAGAACAGCGGATATATCAATTATTTTCTACGTACCAATTATGCACAGGAGACATGACGACAATCCATAAATAAATCATATTTCCGGTTCGTCACATAGGATAGGATTTCGGCGAAATATTTGGATGTCGATAACTTTTATGTAAAATTTAAGAATCTATATGTTTATAACTATATTTCAAAGTTAAACAGCCGGTGGGTTAATATGTTAAAAATCAAAATCCATGTACTAATTGATCAGGTGATAGTGTTATATTAGATCTTCCAAGGTTAAGTTATCGTAATGAGAATAATATGGATACGAAACCATTTGGACCATAGACCGCCTAAAATGTTAAAACGACAAGTGAAGGGAAGACCATACACATGGACGCTAAAACTCTAGAAGGCGACGATAAACTTGTTCCAAAAAATCTAAGCAAAAGCACGAAATCTCTCTACTGGTTCTTGAACAGAGAAACCGATTAGCCCTCTCTATGACACGTGAATCCAAATCAAGAATTGCATGTCCGGTCTTATTGGCGATTAAAAAAATTGCGGTAGAAACTTATTTCCCTGGCGTTCTGTAGATCTTCTACTTGCTAAAACAACCATTGATACCTGAAGCAGCATCTACGAATTTCTGTTCAACTCTAACTTGGCCGGAAGGAAGCTAACGCGGTTACACTGTTTTAACCGAGCCACAGCATCTTGCGTCTTCCCGAGCTTGAGGTCGATGTATATCCCGGTAAGAGTAGCTTGCACGTTGTTCGGTAAAATTGACAGTGCTTGTGATACCAATTGCTGAGCACGGTCAAAATCTCCTCGTATCGCGCGCATGGCGGCTAGGTTCGCATAAACTGACCCACGGGCTTCTTCTGGGCTGAGAAAGGCGGTATTATCTTTAGCTTCTCCCGTGGAAGAATCCTTCCGTTCTTCACAATCTACACTTCTGTGAAAGCGCCATTGGTTAAGGTCTTCTTGGATGAAAGGAAGTTCGATGCTGTCCTGCCCGTGGAGATAGACCGATAAATGCTTAGCAGCCTCTTCTGCTTTGTTCTGTAAGCTGAGAGCCTCGGCGGCATATATATGACCCAGGAAGACATAAATCTTGGAACATTCCGGAAGTTCCAAGAGGGATTTCGCTGCGGGTAATGCTTTAACGTAATCTTCCAACTCCAGCTCGACGAATGCCGTATTCGCGAGAAGGGCTTGCTTCATCATGTGGTTCTCCCGAGCACGGACATCTTCGTACAACGAGAGGGAGTTCCGAATCATGTCTTGGTTAGTTCCTCCTTTCGTTTCTTTCATGCTGGTGTTCGTGTTAGCTTGACCTGAACCCAAGGCCATACCAGTTGGATCTGAGGATGACTCTTCTATGGATTCTTTTCTCACCGAGGAAGGTTCCACTTGATGGTCTGACTTAGACCCGTTGACGCTGGACTTGTTTAGCAAACGCAAAGCCTTCTTGAGATAAGCCCGAGCGTTGATCAATGAAAGCTTTGATTGATCAGGGGAAGTAACTTCCACACGCTCCTTTTCTTTAATCAGAAGGTGTCTCCATTTTCCTTTCCCATAAACCTGAACCTTAATTTCCGATCTTCCTTTTTCCAAAAGACGCATCTTTAAATCCATCAGACAGCATTCAGCAATCCGGAGCCATAAGAGAGGTTGTTTTCTGAAAACACAGGTTGCCTTCTCGAAACACCGAACAGCGACTCCAGGCTTCCCAGAAGCCAAATAAAGCAAACCGCAGTTATATGTTACCAACATAGACTTATCCTGTGACAAAGAGAGTAACTTTGTAGCCTTCTCTTTGCGAGGTGACAGGCAAGCACGGTAAGCGTTGGAAAGAGATAAGGTAGAAGTTTGATAATTCCCGAGCTGATAGTCTATGCAACCAATGTTGTTGTTGTACATGATTGAAGTCTTTGTTTCACCAGAAGCAAACACCAGTTTCCTGGCTTTTTCATGATTTCCACGAGCATATTCAAGCTGGGATTTCAAGAGGAGTGCCACAGATGAGTCCCTTCCTCGATCAATGTTCACAGATGAGTCCCTTGATCGAGCAATGTTCATTGCGTGTTTGACCTCCCGCTTGGCTAGTTTCAAGTTTCTGGTGAGAAGAAAGAACCGAACCTTGTAAAGCTGCAACTCGAGCTTCAGATCAACAGCGGAGATCGATCTGTCACCTATGGCCTTGACAACATTGTTTGCAGGAAAACGGTCAACTTGCTTAGTCAAGCTTTGCTCCCCAATTTCCGCAAGCCCATTGTCATATTCTAGAGTTTCCTCTGACAAACTTCTAGACAACGTACTTTCACCAGCTGCTAAATCAGAATTTGCAGAATCTGAGGCCAACGAGCTTGTTTGGAGAGAGGCTATTTTCGATACCTGGTTTGTAGAAAGTTGTACAGAGTTTCCATTTTCAACTTGACTCCCACAGCCAACACCATAAGTTTTCTCCATGTAGTTTAACACAGCCTGTAAACAACCACTTGTCAGGCACACAAACAAGTAAAGAATATCACGAGAGAATCCATACATTCCTTAGTTAACTTCCAAACTTTTTAATACGAGAAGGTGTTATACAAGACAGTAATCACTGCATCTTTACTTAAAAGACAAAACATCTGCCAGAAATAGAAGCATGGAATGGATGGGAAAAACCAAACAGATGCATTTCCTAAAACTTTTCCATAGCCAAGGGCATATATATCAAATGTAGGATTGTGGTGTATTTCAATATTCCAAAACTGATCAATAACAAAAACTCACCGCAAACTTTGAAGCGTCACGGCAAGCTAATGCAACATCGAGCAACAAAAAACAGATTTGAAGAGCAATCGTCTGCACACAAGTAGCAGGAGGGCAATTTAGAACCAGTACAACAAGTTCAATGTAAAAATAAATAAAAGAAATAATACCTCATCCAGAGGCTCGATATTCTGAAACAAATGTTCTAAAATTGATAACGCTTTTCCATAGTCATGCAGATGAAACCGGGTAATCGCCTACAGAGGAAAAATACACATAACATTTGATGCTCGGCATACAAAGGGAAAAATGAGCCTTAGACTTGAGGAAACGTCAGAACATACAATGTTGAATACTGTCACAGTATTATCAAATTCATCATTGCAAGAAGTGCTAGAACTTTGTCCATTTGTGCTACTCTCTTTTGTCCCCACAGTTTTATTTCCAGGGTTGGCAGCATCAACTTGCTCTCTGGTTGCACGAGCAAGCTCATCACTCTGTTTCTGAGGGAAAGAAGGCAAACAGGAAGACAGTATCAACATCAAGACCAGAAGAAACTAATATAGAATTACTTTATTCCTTGCGTTTCGCTTATAACGTCCTGGTGTGGAATTAAAAAGTAAAAATAAAGAACGACAGAATAACCGTGTTCTCATAGATCAGAAAAACGCTCAAGAAGATTGATGCAGATGAATGTGGAATTGTGGATAAAACCCCACCAGACAGAAGCCCAACAGGAAAGTTTTAACACCATACCTTGACACGGTTAAGGGCTTCCAGCAGCTTCGTAGGAACTGAGCAGCCATCTCTAAAGTACTCCGCAATTGCAATATTGTGAAGAATCTAAAGAAAATATTAATCAATTGAAAATTCATAGTAATATGGTTATTTGAACATTTTAAACCTCCAAATTCCTTAAGGCAAAGGCTCCTAGATATTGATAATAGAACACTATCTGGTTTAGCAGCATAGCAAACAGAACTCAGGATACAGTGCTGTAGATATATAATCATACAATACAAACAATTAATTCTACAAGAATAAGTATATCCCACAATTACATAAGACTAATCAAGAATCATGAAAATTTTGAAGACACACACATGGGATTCACATGGCCAATGACATCTGTTTAACACAAACATGAAGAAATGCAAAAGAGGGTAACAGCATGGTGTGAGTGTATATCCAGAATTCTACTAACAATGCACAAGAGGGTAACAGCATGGTGTGAGTGTATATCCAGAATTCTACTAACATATCGAACTCAACATGGAGATTGAATACCTTGGACTTGTGACAAATATTCCTAAACTATCTCGATAAAATCAAGAAGCAAATCATTTCAAGCATCTTGCAAGAAGATAATACCCCATAACATGGTGTGAGTGTATATCCAAAATTCGTAAACTTGTCACACACAATATAGCAATAGCAGCAAAGAACATCTACGGAACTCCACCTTGGGATCGTTCTCTTTCATCTGCTTGAGCTGATTCAGAACACCGATACACTCAGAGAACTTGCCGGACTGGAAATACAGAACAGCGTCCTTAGCAAGTCTGGAGGTAACAACAAGAACGGAGTCTTCGTCGGAAGCGGAACCATCTCTGCCGACATCGGAAGCTGAAGCGGACAAGGAATCTCGCGAATCCATAGCAGATCAACCCAAGTAAAAAACTCAGATTCGAAGCAAAAACCGCTTCAACTTTCAAATGCGAAAAGATCGAATTTCGAAACCGTAGCTTTCCTTGAATCGTGAACTGAATTTCCAGGGAGGCGATTACGGGGAGATGAGAATTAGGGGTGGAAATTGAGCAAGAAGAAATCGAAAACCCTAGGAAAGTGAGAAATTAACAGAGGGAAAGCGAAGTGAGAGAGAGAAAGCCATGAGGTTCTTCAATTCTCAAAGCCCATGATTTTTTTTTAATTAAACACTCGGGGAGTATTATTAGTTTGGAAAAAACAGTATTATCACATCGTTGCAAAAAAAATAATAATATTGTTAGGATTCGCGATACACGGTTGAGATATATAAAATCCGATCGTATCAATTAGTATATAATTATATTCCAAACTAATCTATTCGTTTGAAAATCACATATAAAAATAATTTTAAAAATCGATACAAATATATTATAATGAATACGGAAAATTGATTTTAAAACTATACATGTAGTATTTATCGAATAAAAAAGTTGAATTCGAAGACAATGTAACTCAAACCTTAGGTTATCTATTGACAAAAAAATATCACATCAAAATTTGGTAAATATGGGCAAAACAATTATCTAAAATATTCGAGAATGGATAAAAATATCAATTTCATAAGATTTGTAAATCCAGATATTGGATTCGTTACTCAAACACGGAATACCCCTAAATACATACGTTTTGATCCATTTTGAAAGATCTGGACTCTCATGTACAGAACAAAATTGGGAGATATATATATATATATATATACATATATTCACATTATTTCTCCCACCAGGCAATTAATTAATTAATTAATTAATTAGTTTTGGAGGAGTAATTGCTCGATTTCATCAAACCCATCATCATCTTTAATAACATTTTCCTGTACGGAATGTTGGTCGCCTTGTGTTTGCGCGAGAGCCAGAGAGTTGATGTTCGCCCGCCGATAGAGAGAGTGTCTCCGTTCATCCAATTCCTCTCTCAGTTTTCCCAGTCTTTCTCCCATCAGCTCTTTCTCTTCCG